TTCATCAGCTTAATAAGTGTTACTATGCAATTCATTATCTCATATATCGATAAGCATTACTAATTAAAATTTTTATGTGGTACACTCATTCTAAATTTGTATTACAGTAACCGCAGCCAATAAAAGTTCATGTATTCTTGTAAAAATATTATTGGTCAACAATTTTTAACTCTTATATAACGATAACATAATCCTATAGTTCATTTGTAATAGTTTTTTTATTTTGGTGTTTCTCCTTAATTGCCTATGAATTTAAATAATATGAATAACTTGTACAAACATGCTTTAAAACAAGAGCAAGTTCTTCGACAAGATTTAGCAAAGTTTGAAAATGGAGAGGACGTTTCTGTTGGAATACAAGGTAACTGTGATTTTCTGCTTTTTCTTGCTTATTTAAATATGTTGAAAGTTTGATCTTTTAATAAGCTCGTATTCATTGCTTGATCTATAGGTCAGATATCGGTTGGTCTTACTTCATTAAAACGAACGATTGATGATTACGATGGCTTGGCCAAGAGAGAAATTATACTTGTAAAGCAAGAGAAAGCTTTGGTGTATGTTTAAATTATGTTTGACATCAATCATTTAATTTTCCTAAACAATTCATATCATTAACCGTTCATTCAGTAATGTATGCAAGTTAAGAGATGATTATAACGAATTGAAGAGTCAGTTTGATAGGCTGAAACAACGAGAAGCGAATAAGGTTTGCTTATAAAGATACTTGATTTGCATATTATTTGGTTGCAGTATTATAATCTACTTTGGAATTTATAGATGGCTCAAAATAGCAGGGCAGAGTTGTTGGAACGAAGACATAATACATCTACAGTATGTTTATATCAATTATCTATTATTTTCAGAAGATAATAATAATATATTTATATATCTTTTTGTTTTCGCAACAGCCGGAATATCCTTTTCAACATGGTTCATCCAGAGAACAGCATGCACTTCGAGAGCATGACTTTCTTAATGAAACCGATTCAAAACTTGATGAATTCATAGCACATGGAAGAGAAGTGTTATATAATATGTATGACCAGAATAATACTTTAAAGGTTTGTTTTAAAATTTCTCATGATTTTTAGTAATAAATAAGTTAATGAGAGTTTTATAGAGCGCTCAACGAAAGATGCTTGATGCAGCAAATACTCTTGGGTTATCACGTAACGTTATTCAATATATAGAACGTAGATCAACCCAGGATAAATGGATTTTTCTAGGTGGTGTAATTCTTACTTTATTTTCTATGTGGGCTATTGTACATTATTTAACATAAATTGGATATATACATTTCTTATGAAATATTGTTGAAATTCTACAAATTAATCGAATTTATTATGATTAACGATCATTTTTTGATGTGTTTGCTATATTGGAAGGAGTTAGTTTGTAAAAACGGTTTGGTCAAAATATATATATATATAAAGAGAAAAAGTTGAGTAATTTAATTTGCCTGCAGATTGAACAGCAGGGTATACTTTTTGTAAAATAAAGTGTGAAAAGGTATGATAAATTTCATTATATTATGGTTATTTATTCAAAATATCTAATTAATTCATTTTTGGTTAAAGAAATATTACATAGAAATTAAAAAGGACTTTATTAATGTTCTATCAAATGTTCTATCATATGAAGCTTTAATTTTCAGTTACAGTGATGTAGATTCTTTAACGTAATCATATCACCGTACTGTTCTTTAGTTTTTATCCATTTTTCATAAACCAGTAATAAAGAATATAAATAGTTGACGTCTGTGTTAGCAAATTCTTAAATTTGATTGACCTTAAAGTATATTACAGTAGACACAGTAAAATGAGCCACATGTATGCGCCACATAATCAGCATGCAGCAACTTATCAAAACGGACAAAATTTTTTACAAAATTTAATACGTAGGATTTTGTGTAATTTTTGAGAAAACTTTATTCAAGCTGTCATTAACAGCAAAAAAGTTGCGTTTTAATTTTTTAAAATTTTGTTTTCACGGCAACCACTTAATTAAATTCGATGAAAGTTGGTTTAATTCTACAAATATGTAGGATTAAAATAAAATTTCTTCAAATTAGGTGGTGGTTGAAAAATTTTAAAGTCTGTAAGAAATCTTTCCACCTATCGCTATCAATAGAAAATTTGATAAAATTTTGAGGGAAGTTTTCTTGATAAACTCCTGATCAAATTTTAATTCTAGACTAGGTAGAATTAATAAATAAAAAAAAAACAAAATTCATCGAATTTGATATGTAATTACTGTCCGTTTTAAATTTTACACGTTGATCATGTGACGCGTATGTGACTCATCTTACCCGCTTTAGCGAACCCCCGAAAAAGGAATTTCGCATAAATTACGTATAACTCACCAAATTTTTGTTAATAACTGATACGTACCAACTGCACCAACGTACGTACGTATATAATTATTTTCTCATTTTACTAGCAAAAGATGGATCCTATAAAATCTAGAGGTCGTCCACCAAAAGCTGGAAGTAAAGGAGCATTTACAAAAGACAGTAAGTTTACTTTCACAGAAAAGCTTTAAAATTTATTAAATGTGGAACTTTATTAATCATTTTTATATAAAACTAAACAGAATTATTTTAATACTTTAATTATTTAAGTACGACTTTTAATGTATGGGTTTGGCGACGAAGCTAATCCAGCAGCCGATTCAATAAACGTGATGGAGGAACTTGTTACTGATTATATTACCGAAATGGTATTTGTAATAGCTTAATTATCCTTTTATCTTTCTATGTCTTTTTATTATTCAATACAAAAATTATTTTTATTTGACTAATTATTAAATTAACAAACTAGTGCCATAAAGCATCTGATGTTGCAAAAGATCGCAAAGTCACCGTTGATGATTTCAAATTTATTTTACGGAATGATTCAAAAAAATTGGCCAGAGTTGAAGAATTATTGCATATGGAGCAAGAGATCAAGAAAGCTAGACAAAATTTCGATGTTAAAGATATTGATGAATAAAAAGCTATTATTCTTTGCGGTACACGGAATAGTAAACTGAAAAATTATCTATCATATATGACAAAATTACTGAAGTGTTATGTATTCTATTTTTATGATAGAATAGATAATTACAAATATTTGTAAATTTTAGTGAAAAAACCTGTTTTTTTAATTCATTCAAAGAATCAAAAAAATGTTTACAATCAATAAGTGTTCTAGAAAAGACATTCATGATTCATCTCCGTTTTCTTATTAATTACATTGAGAAAGTTCTACTTATTGACGTTGGGATTATGAAAGAGAGTTTTGTCACCATCACCCCATGGGAAAGGCTAATTAATAGTTACATAAAAAAAAAAAAATTAATAATAAGAATTACAGATAAATGCATTTTAAAATAAAGGATTTTAGAAAAAAAAAAAACCTTGGTTCTGATACGTTGATATTGAAAATGTGGATGGTCCTCTTCATGTCCATGTCCATGCTCTGCATGGTGAGCCTCGTGTTCCTTCATGATTCTGTACGAATTCGCTACACCCAAGATAAGGGCCGGTGTACAAACATAAATAGTAATATTTTTCCAAGTTTTAGCAGTGCCTGTTAATAGAAGATCAAGATGGATCGAAGTAAAGAATCGGTAAAATCAAAATTAGATCGAGTATTGGTGATAGCATTTATATATATATATATATATATATATATAAATTATCAAACAGAATGTAAAAGCAACTATTAGGTAGTATCCACATAAGCATGAATCTAAGAATGAATTACACAATATTATTTTACAAGCGTATATATGCTCATCGTGCTGACATAGCTATATAAAATGAAAAGGTTGATATATAACCCTTTGCATGTTCCTCGATAGCAAGACGTTCTTTAGCAAACGGAGTAAGACTCTCCGAGGATGCTAATACAGAGTATTTACGAATCACAGCAGGGACACGAGGCAAAACTTTAGCGATACGGGTTGCAAGAAAGCGCTTTTCCATAGCGAGAGTAGTTCGAGTTTTAGCGTTACGAAAGTTCATAGAACTTATATACTAAGAAATCATATGACCTATGATAAACCTCAATCCTATTGGTTATCTAATAAAATGTGAATTACCAGTAGGCATTGAAACCGCCTAAAATTTTTCTTAATCATTTAATCGTTTAACCGTTTAGTTTGGCCGGCATTAAAATAATTCTGGCCCACGACCAACATAATTCTGCCCGGAACT